GAAGTAAGTTGCGCATAAACCCTATTGGTTACGATGGCTGTGGGTTTAGCTACCATGGCTGCTACAGCAGCAGGCATCTTTATATGGCCTACATCCTTTTTCTTGTCTGTCGTAATTATTAATTCTGGTTTGTGTGACAATCACCGCTTGAAGTGTTTAAGCTGCAAATATACTTGGCTCAATTCCGTAACAATATAAAGTAATGGCTGTTGCATATGCTTTAGTTGGACATGGATTTATAGCAAAGGGTTGCATGTAAACACGAAACGGTGGTGAGCTTGCTATCTAATTGTGAGCATGTTATTGAAAATAACGTGAAAAACAACTTGGTAGAATTCAGCTTTCTGGCACTCATCCATTTCTGTCCCTTGTGTCTTTATCTTTTCTATGTACAGCTGAGAAAGTATAAAGAGCAGGAAAAGGATCAAATTTATGAGAAATGAAACTCCCTGCCCTAGAGATGACATCTCCAGTGATTATCATTTACGAAGGACCGCTCCACAGCTGGATCACCTGTCAGTGCTGGAACATTTTCTGCATCATTAAGGAACCAAAAACAACTTTAAATCTATATTGCCTTTATAAATCAATTCCTTTAAAGCCACACAGAACTGCAGTCCCGGCTCCAGACTCTCAGTCAGTTAATGTTAAACCTGGAATACCCTGAAGTTGCACAGATACAGTAAACTGACATGGTTATTGGCTGAGTCCTGAGGTGCACTTGAACTGTTGTGGTGTACTGGTAACACATCTGTTAACTTTGATGGAAGTACCAGGTTCAAATCCTGGCGAGAGTGCACGGCCTCATCAGTCTTTTTAGCCTAATATTTTAGTTTACTGTTTGTACTTGCAAAAACCAAGACTTTTATAATAAAATGATGTTGAATCTGACTTGTTCTGAATATATTCTAATACTAATTAAAATACATTATGAAATGATATACAGTATGCATTTGCATGGTTTTATTTTTTTAAGTGCATCAATACTTCCTTTGTAAACTTGACAATGAAATTTTTGATTTCTCTGCACAGCCTTCCAGACTCTTAGAAAATCAGTTATTCTGTGGAGGAAACAAAGTGGAATGTGTGTACTGCACAACGACAATATTTCAAATAATTTTGACTAATAATATCCTAATCCTGAATATTTTTCAGAGTACTCCTCCTACTAGAAACTAAATATGGAATCTATTTTTGTATATCAATGTAAGTTGACACATACAGTATCCTTCTACTTTTCAGTATCTCAAGTGCTAGTAACAACAAAAGCTAAATAGGTCAATCCATTTCTATCGTGATCTGATCAGTGCGTGTGTCACACCTCAGCGCTCACACTGGCAAGAGGGACAGAAAACAATGTAAGAGCGTGACAAAGTTGGTAAGAACATTAACCACTCAGTCTACATTTAACCCCAGACTGAGCTGCTGATAGGTACTGTCGGTAGCCCGCTATACAGGGAGGCGTGCAGTCAGTCATGTATTCTAGAGCAATGTGCCAGACACTGGCTGTTCATAGCTGACTTTAAATTGCACATCTGGCCCAATAACCTTGAAAGAATGCTGATGAAACGGCAAGAAATATTCCAGTTATTGCAACTTTAATTTTTCCAAACAATTTACATTACATCAAACATCCTTCTGCTTCTGGTCAGGACTTCCATAAAACAGCTGCAATTATAATTGCAGTTTTAAAGGTGTGTGCATGCTGGGCACAAGTACTCCTTTTCCACAGGAGGATGCTGAACACAGCTGACGTGAAACCACTTCTCACAGCTGTCGCAGCAAATCTGTAAAATAAATAAAATAATATTTTGAAACAAAAGGGAGATTAAAGAGAGCTCAAGAAAATATTCAAAGGTTCTTTTCAAAATTGACAGACAAAAAGTTGGTTAAAAAACTAAAAAGAAAATCAAACTTTCTAATTAAGTTACCTATTTGTGTCATCATCTGGGCTCCCACAATAATAGCACAAATTGTGGTCGCTATATGCAGCCTCATTTTATTCACCTCATCCTCTGACGTGTCAAAATTTAATGAGTCCCCACACAGAATTTTTTCTGCAAACTGGATAATTTGTGTCGGTGTTCAAGCAAAACTTAAAAATATTGAACTACACAGCAACATTTATGTTTATATTTACTGAGGTGTCATGCTGATTTTTTACAAATTTGACAGGCAGTCCTAACATTGTTTTAACACAAACAACTACTAACCTTTAATGCTAGGACTCCACAAGACACCGAGTCTCACTGGAAAGAATGCTCAAAATATTGTGACCCTTCTTCCGCCGAAAGGCTCTGAAATATAAATGAAAAACATTTACAAATGTTAGCATATGTTTTCAAAGCCTACTAGTTAGATTTAAATTGTCAGTATGGTACCAGGCAGTGCCATTCTTTACCTTGTGGTCTCCTGGCATGTTTTCTGATCTGCTTTGGTTTCTCTCATAGGATCCAGGAACAGGCAACGTTTTTCATTGGGATACAGAACCTATGTACAGTATGTGTAAAGTTTTGATATAAATTTCCGTGGCATAAAAGTTGCTAACATTAGGAATCTGTTGCCAGAATAGATACAAAATGGTTCCTTTGCAACTGTTTTGTGTGTGTGTGTGTGTGCACTACAAAATAATGCTGGAATGTAGGTATGATGTCGTTCCAAGCATATAAATATAGAATGATAGTTCCTCCTGTGGAGTCCAAACCTTTGTTGTATTGCAATATTCCCCTCTAAAGGTTTAATAAATCTAAATTACATATTTTTAAATCATAATTTTTTTAGGCCTTGAAGTCTCAGTTACAGTTTACCCATTCAAATTGAGTGTTGATGACACATTATACATATACTTGATTCACAAATGACATATTCTGTCTTACCACCATAATCCAGTGATGGCTCTTATTAATTATCCCTATGACGACAACATATGTCATGAGATCCATGTAAAAATATATGAAAAAAATATTTAGTTTAGCTCACCTGAGGAAATAATCAGGAACTTTCAAAAAGGTTGTACTTAATACATGCAGT